CAGCGCCTCTTCTTCCTTAGGACACTGAAGAAGAACCAGTTGTCTTCAGCCATCCTGGTGAACTTCTACCGGTGTGCGATCGAGAACATCCTTTCCAGTTGTACCACAGTCTGGTATGGGAACTGCTCAGTTGCTGACCGGAAGGCACTGCAGAGGGTGGTGAAAACTGCCCAACACATCACAGGGACACCACTCCCTGCTATTGAGGACATCCAGAGGAAACGCTGTCTACGTCGAGCTTGCAGCATTCTTAAGGACTCCTTTCACCCTGACCATAGACTGTTTAACCTCCTGCCCTCCGGGAGGCGCTTCAGGAGCCTCCGGACAAGGACCAGCAGACTTAGGAACAGCTTTTTCCCTACAGCTGTCTCCTTACTAAATTCTGCCCGCTGACTCCCCCCCACACACCACACTCACACTCCTCACACCTACTCATTACTACATCTGGTTTACCCCCCAAAAAAACTGTTACACTTGTTATTACTTGCACTACTGTCTGTACATCCAGAATACTGAATCATCCATTTGCACACTGGAATATTTTCTATGCACTTTTTTAAATGTCCATTGCACTTGTGTTTTGTACAGCTTAATGTATCGCTTACATATTCATTTGTAAATGATGTTCATATGTTCATATTTTTTTGCTCATAGTGTACATAAACTTATTACATAATCCATCTGTATAGTATGTTCATAGTACACCTATCTGTATATCATGCTGATAGTATTTAAAAAATCTGTAAATTATGTCCATAGTACTGCCTTATCTGTATATTTATTGTACATTTGTAACATATTGGAGACACTGTATATCCTGTACTTACTGCTTATTGCACTTCTGGTTAGATGCTAACTGCATTTCGTTGCCTTGTACCTTACATGTGCAATGACAATAAAGTTGAATCTAATCTAATCTAATGACTAGCAATGGATTAGAATAAATGGGTTTTTAATTTGATTCATAATTTTTGGTTGGGTCAAACCCAGACATTCAGAGACTAAATATAGAGGTATAAATAAGCAACCTGCAAAAACATCCTCTTCATCATAATCATTTACTGATGCGCTCAATCAATTTTCCAAATGTTGCGTACACACAAGGCTAGACGCGCTGTTGCTTAAAGGAAAACATTATGTACCAAATTACTGCAATGCTTTTATCTTAAATGGATAGTATTATCTTAAAGACTTTCTTCTGTGGAACACACACAAAAAAAATATTTTTTAAGTAAAAGTAATATGATATTCTTTCACTCAGGTGCAAACCCTGACACTCCATTTCATTTATTCATTTAGCAAATGCTTTTATCCTTATTTTCATTACAAATCACTACCCAAGGTTTGCACTTTCTCCCTTGTCAGCCTTCTCCACATACTGATTAGGTGTGTGTGCCAGGTGTGTTAAGTGCTTGGTGTGGAGGTTACCTACACACACTGGTGAATGGCTGCTGACAGTGGTAGCACAGTATTGAGCTCTTGGTTTGTCCTCTGGAAGCGTGCAAAGCTCTGCAACCCCTGTCAGTCGAGGTCCCTTTCCATCCTCCCAAATGTACAGTGCAACCTGTAGGAGAAAAATAATAATAATTTAATAAACGCAATACTTTTAAAGGAATAGTTCTTCCAAAAATGGAAATTTGCTGATAATTTACTAACCTTATATAAGATATGGATGAGTTTGTTTCTTCAGCAGAACAGATTTGGAGAAATGTAGCTTTACATCACTTGCACACCAATGGATCATCTGAATGGGTGCCGTCAGTATGAGAGTTCAAACAACTGATAAAATCACCTCACAATAATCCAGTTCTCCAGTTTCTACAGTAAAAAAGTCCATCCAATGTTGTCCTCTAACATCAAAATCCACCGACATATTTGTTTAGAACCGTTTTTGCTTATAAATGGTGCTTGATCTGTGTACAATTCTCTCCCGATTCAGACCAGATGACTTTTTGGTTTCAAAGTGTAATTTTGTATAAAGAACTCATATTTCAGCAGGAAGCATCTTGGTGGATTTTTATTCAACAAAACACATAGTCTTTCACTTTACAAGATGTTAATTGAAGGACTGGAGTCATGTGGATTACTAAACAGCTGTTTGGACTCTCATTCTGAAGGAACCCATTCACTGCAGAGGATCCACTGGTGAGCAAGCTAAAATTCCAAATATGTTCTGATGAAGGAACAAACTCATCTACATCTTAGATGACATAAGGGTTAGTACATTTTCAGTAAATGTACTCATTTATTTATACTCATGTTGCTTCAAACCTGCATTACTTTTTTTTTAATATTTTGAAGAAAGTTTCAACTGTTTTAGTTCATACAATGAAAGTCAAAGGGGTCGAAAACAGCATGGGTCCCCATTGAAACATTTTTAAAATATCTTCTGTTGTCTATAGAAAAATGTTAGTTTGGAATGACATGAGGATGAGCAAACTATTACAGAATTTTCACTTTAGGGTGGCTGACAATGGAATAAAACCATATTGATCAAAAATGTTGCAAGCCAAATTTAAACCTGCAGCACTCCATGAGCACCATGATATGTTAAGAAGAATGGAACATTACAGTACTTTAAAAAAGTTGTTCTTGTTTCTGTATATAAAGATAGATCTCCCACACATGAAAATGAGATTCTCAAGATGTATCCAATAAATTATCAGACAGTCTGTCCTCAGCTCCGCAGAGTGCTTTGCAGGGAAAGAGCTGCAGAAGAACAAACACACTAATACAGAAGGTACAGTGAAGGTAAGGTGTTTTTTGGGACTATGGGGACTAGATGAGAAGAATCCTTTATTTTTTTTAGAAGAATTTTGTGGAAAGAGCGCTAGAGAGACTGAGGGAGAGGGAAATAGGGAACGAGAAGGTGGAGATGACAAAATATCCCTGAGAAATGTGCCAGTTGATTCTGGTACTGCCAGAGCTAGTCCAGTTAAAGGGTGAAATGAGGGAATGATTACAGAGCTTCTTTTTCCACAACAACAACAAGGCACTCACGGTACAAGCATGGCATATGCCAAGTTTATGACATTTCAAATATGTCAGCTTTCTGGAACACTTGTATTTAACCAGTCAACTGTGCCACTGAACGGTCATGTTGATGTTGAAAAGTTTGAGGTCAGTAAGTTTTTTTTTTTTTTTTTTAAGAAATTAATGTTTTCATGCAGCAAAGATGCATTAAATTAATCAAAAGGGAGAGTAAAGAAATTTGTTATGTTCCAAAAGATTTCTATTTCAAATATATGCTGTCCTTTTGAACTTTCTATTCATCAAAGAATGCGGTGACAACCGAACTCACACCCATCTATTTTCAGGACTCACAACCACATTCTCGAAAAACATGCACTGTATGAACTGGACAACTAGTTGTAGTACAGTGTGAGAGAGCCGCTCATGTGTGGTTTCACGCTGGGTAAGTTACAGCGATGGAGAAATGAGCTGTGCGTCATCTGAAGATTTTAGATCCAGTCACTGTTCTCCACTGGAGCGGTTTCTGTCAGTTTTGTGTTCTGTGCGTGACTAAAATGCAGTGTCATGCGCGAGATGCAGAAAAGGATGTGAGTGCATATACGGGCTTGACTCTTGTTGCACATTCATACAGACAGTATTCGAGATGCTACTGTAAGCTGCTGCTTGAACGGAAAATTTCAAGACTCACACAAGGAAATGCAGTTGTCAATCCCTAAAACTGACAGTGTGAACATGGCCGTAGTTAATGCAGTGATTACTTTCATTTCTGGCGCATTTTTAAACTGTCGGAGATGTTAGCATGTCACTGAACACTGATCACATCATCACAATCTAATGTGTAGTGTCTTATTAACTCACTGCCATGCATTGTGTGTGCAATGCATCCCTTCTCCCTCTTCACGTTTCGTTGATTTTCTCCACTGCTAAAGAAACTCTTAAGCCTATTAAAAGTCCTCGTCATTACTCATAACAATTTTGGACCTTAAGAGCTCTTTTAAGAGTTAAGATGCTTTCTGAATTACTTTTTTCATTACTAGGATCTTTTCATTAATTTTAAGAGGAAACGCCCACATTTCTATGAATTTTCTCACTTGGAGCAACTCTTTGTACTAAGAATTTTCATGAATACGGGCCCAGGGTTCTCCAAACTGGACAGCTACCTTCCTGCAGACTTAAGTTCCAACCCTGCTTCAACACACCTGTCTGTAATTAAGTAGCCCTGAACACCTTGATTAGCTGGTTCAGGTGTGTTTGATTAGGGTTGCAGCTGAATTTTGCAGTATGGTAGCTCTCCAGGAGCAGGGTTGGACACCCCCAAAGACATTTGTTGATACAGCATTTTACTACAAAACTCAAAATGGCTGACGCCCAAAACGGTCGACATAGGAAAATTATCATTAAAATTAGGTATTGTTCGATTTGGTATGCCATACTTTTTAGTATGCCATACTGTTTTACTATATTTTTGATTACATAAATGCAGCCTAGGTGAGCATAAGAGACTTCTTTTAAAACATATAAACCCCAAACTTTAGAGTAGTATAGTCTATGCATAATGTTTTTTATAAAATAATATTGTAATATTTTTGCAGTGTTTGTAATAATGTTTCTAAGGTGATAGTTTTCAACTATTTAAATGCCCTTTTTCTTAGTGGACACTTTCATCTACAATTAAAAGATCATAAAACAAATTTAAAATAACAATATACAGTCAGTCAATCATCATTCCAAAATATACACCTTAAAAATTCTCACCTCATGTTTCAGATCTATGGTGAAGTCCGATTTTAATGGCTCCTCTTCTATTTTGCTTGTCAAACTAAAATGTGAAATAACTCAAATTAGTGAACTACAAGGGAAAATCCAACATGTTAAATAAAAAATACCTGTTCATAAATGGCAATTCATGGTTCCAGAAAGTACACTGGAATACCACGTTATCACCATAGTACGTCTACAGCAATTTTTCAGTACCATGGTATATATCAAACTACCATGGCATCAGATATAATCACTTTCACAATGCAAAGATTCCAGCTTTGAAAAAATTTTCAGAAAACTTGTATGAGTAACAAAATTAAATAGTATTAATTCATATTATCTATAAAAACATGTTATTCTGAACTCAGGAACCCAGCAGTTCAGCTGAGGGCATCTTTCTAACCTGTTGACCAGAGAGATGCTAAGCGCCCATCCTGCAGAGAAGTCTGGGTACTCGAAAGCCGCAGGGTTCTCAGAGAAAGCATAATGATGGATGATGGTGGACTCTTCATCATGCAGAGGCTTGCCAAGAAACCACTCCTGAGAACAAAATGTGGAGATCAATCAGACTGCGATGGCCATCTCAGGCTAAATCACAGCGTAGCAGCTGCCACTCATTCAGAAGCTATAGTGTGGTGGTCTCAGACTGCACATTCAGACATGAATATATTACAACTTGATTTTAACCAAATTTTTATTCTGTTTACAAAATTCTTGAGGTTATTTCCTCAACACAGTCAAAACAGCAATAAAATTTAGTGGCTATGGAAGCTTTTCTAACACCGAACAAAATTAAAGGTGGGGTAAGCAATTTGTCAAAAACGCTTTAGAAAACTGATTCAGGCCGACTAGCAAAACAAACTTGTAGCCAATCAGCAGTAAGGGGTGTGTACTCATGATGTGGAGGAGAGAGTGTTCAGTGCTCACATTAGCGAGCCGAGCGACAGAAAGATAGAGATGGCGGATAAAAAACAAAAGAGGAAAACGTCTGCGGAACAAAAGAAGGCTTAAGGCAATAAGGCAAGAAGTAGGACCCGTGTAAATATCGGATCAGCTTTCCAGTGCTGGAGAGAACTCAAGGAGCTGAAGGCCTGCGATCGGACGCCGAGGTTACTTTGTTTCTTCTCGATAAGTGAGTAATACCGTGTCTGCGCCGCAAAAACTAAATTCTGTCTAGTACACTGGACGCGACAAAGCGACCGTTGAAAATAATTAGAAATTTGTGTCAATACGTCATGAATAGAACGCAGCAGCGGTTTTTTATCTGGGATTTGTCGTGTTGTGCCGCATCCGGTGTAGACCATAGATATGTATGTATATATATATATATATATATATATATATATATATATATGGTGTAGACAGCATCACTGATTATAATGGGGTTCTCAGAGAAAGCATAATGATGGATGATGGTGGACTCTTCATCATGCAGAGGCTTGCCAAGAAACCACTCCTGAGAACAAAATGTGGAGATCAATCAGACTGCGATGGCCATCTCAGGCTAAATCACAGCGTAGCAGCTGCCACTCATTCAGAAGCTATAGTGTGGTGGTCTCAGACTGCACATTCAGACATGAATATATTACAACTTGATTTTAACCAAATTTTTATTCTGTTTACAAAATTCTTGAGGTTATTTCCTCAACACAGTCAAAACAGCAATAAAATTTAGTGGCTATGGAAGCTTTTCTAACACCGAACAAAATTAAAGGTGGGGTAAGCAATTTGTCAAAAACGCTTTAGAAAACTGATTCAGGCCGACTAGCAAAACAAACTTGTAGCCAATCAGCAGTAAGGGGTGTGTACTCATGATGTGGAGGAGAGAGTGTTCAGTGCTCACATTAGCGAGCCGAGCGACAGAAAGATAGAGATGGCGGATAAAAAACAAAAGAGGAAAACGTCTGCGGAACAAAAGAAGGCTTAAGGCAATAAGGCAAGAAGTAGGACCCGTGTAAATATCGGATCAGCTTTCCAGTGCTGGAGAGAACTCAAGGAGCTGAAGGCCTGCGATCGGACGCCGAGGTTACTTTGTTTCTTCTCGATAAGTGAGTAATACCGTGTCTGCGCCGCAAAAACTAAATTCTGTCTAGTACACTGGACGCGACAAAGCGACCGTTGAAAATAATTAGAAATTTGTGTCAATACGTCATGAATAGAACGCAGCAGCGGTTTTTTATCTGGGATTTGTCATATATATGGTGTAGACAGCATCACTGATTATGATGAGTTCCATAGTATTTTGTCACGCCGCACCACTCGCGTCCGGTGTAGACTAGGGGTTGAACGACTTCTGATTTTTTTGAAGTCGACTTTTATGTGATGAAAGTCGTGTGACTTTTTATACATTTTTTAAAAAGTCAGAATTGAGAGTTTATAACTCACAATTTGAAGTTATAGGCTCATAACTGCAAGCTTACATCTTGCAATTGCTTTTTTTTTCTGTAACAAAATAAAAAAAAGGTAATTTCGACTTTTGAACTCTTCTTTTTTCTCTTAGAATTGCGAGTTTATAGCCTATGGTTCGGACTCCCCCCCCCCCGCCCGAATAGCAAGAAAAAAGGCTAAATTGTGAGATAAAAAGTCACAATTATCTTTTTTTTTTCCTGTGGTGGAAATAAGCTTCCATAAATGAACAAGTGACAGTGATACTGTCATAACTAAAAAAGGGGAAAAAATTTACTTAATGGTTTATTCATAGAAAGATTATTACTTGTAGTGCTGTGCTAAACAGCTGCCTGTCGTGTTGAATGCACTGTGCAACTGACTCATCATAATGTAGTTCACATTATTGTGTTACTTTGAAAAGGCTAGGGTAAACTGATTTTAATGAAGTGGAAATCTGTGATGAGTCACTTGCACAGTACATTCAACATGACAGGCAGCTGTAAATGGCTTTCCGTTGTCAAATTTCATTAATATGTTGACAGCACAGACAGTTGAAATTTTAAAGGACAGTCTAAGTAATGGTCAGAACGTATGTGTGTGAATCTATATTACTTATTCAGAGTTAAATGTCATCTATGAGGACAACTACAAGACTGTGATGAGAAATCATAGTAAAAGTAAAACCTGAGAAAGTGACACATTTTAAACAGAATCTCTTCAAATGTGCAGGTGAAAAAGATTCAGTCAGGGAATTCATCACCTTTATTACTCTCACATATTAAAAAACCAAATAGAATGAAGTAGTTGAGTTTGTGGGCTTGGCGTTGTATTTACAGACATCAATTACCATCAATTTTAAGAATAACAACTGCAAATTAAATGGTTATCACTTCTGGGCTATGTCGCATTTGCAACTGCTGTTAGGAGGGTTTTAACATTGATAAAGAAGCATTATGGAGAGTCATTTAGTGCAAACACAATACATATTTTCACTTTCCATGACAAGATCAATGTCAGACTGCAAATAAATTTCTCAGAACAGCTTTCAGCATAAAATGCTTACACCCTTGGGTCTGAAATTCAAAATAATTCATGCTGACATCATTTAAGAAAAAAAAGACTAAAACACATTAAGATGTCATTGATAATGGAGCTAGGTGGAGCACAATTCTAAACAGGCTATACAGGTAATTCTACAGGTAGCAGACTGGTCAGATTTTAAGGGATTGTTAGTGCATGCAGTGTTTTAATGACTAGAAATGTGTGGAACCCATCTTAATAACCTCCCTTTAGCTAAAATTCAAGGTGAACAGAAAGGTTTATGAACAGCATGATGGAACATGGATAAGAAAACACTAGGTAACACTTTACTTGAAGGGGTGTGCATAAGACTGACATGACACCTTCATAATCATGACATGACACATGTCATGAATATGAAGGAGGTTTTATGCATGTTTATGACAACTGTCATTAAGTGTCATTCACTCAGTTATGTAATTTTTAATGCAAATATGACATTATTTGACCTAACCCTATCCCTACCCTTACCCCTAACCATAGCCCATAACAAAGACATCTCAAACAATGTCATCTTTGCATTAAAAATGACATAACTGAGCGAATGACACTTAATGACAGTTGTCATAAACATGCATAAAAACCCTTCATATTCATGACATGTGTCATGTTATGATTATGTAGGTGTCATGTCATGATTATGAAGGTGTCATGTCAGTCTTATGTACACCCCTTCAAGTAAAGTGTAACCAAACACTATAACAGACTATTTCCAATCTTGCTGACTTTGGAACATCAAGTGAAGGCTAAACATGAATTTTGATTAATTTTGCACATTCGGCACAATAAGAAAAGTTCTTACTTTTCTGCGGTCAAATTTTTTGAGGACTTCATGGAGTTTATGCAGTTTCACTCTGGTGCCCTCCTCTAGAAACATGATCCAAGATGAGTTCTTGCCAAACTGTGATGACAAGCTAAAGGAGAAAAAACATTCTGCATTATTAACAATTTGAAAGAAACTTTATACCAGTTTATACAAACATATCAACAGACTATAATCATTCATAATTAGTCTGTGCATTAGTGGTGGGATTACTTTTTAAATAAATTATTTCTGCAAGCTACATTTTTACACCAGTAGGTGATAACAAAGAGTTTTATAAATGAGTCACTGAATTGTTCAAATGATATGTTCAAAAACACTGATTCATTCAGTAGGGAAACATGTGTTTTATAAATGAGTCATTGAATCGTTCACTCAAACAATTTGTTTGAGAACACTGATTCATTCAGGAACTAAATAAGTAAAATACAAATCACTGTCCTTGTGAGTCACTGAATCATTCACTCAGCTGAATCATTCAAAATACTGATTCATTCAGGGACCACTACTGTATGATGCTAGCTAGATTTTTTATAATATACAATATTATTAATGAATGCTTTTGCCAAATCACATGAACAAGAGCACTCTTGTTCATGTGATATCATTTAAATAACTCCAAACACATCAACAACATACAAATCTTGAACAAGAATTCTACACAGTAATGTCAGTATTTACAGCACTTACTAGGGCAGTAGTGGGAGAATGCTCCAGTCCCCCTCATTGTCTGTCAGCGTGTGCAGGAGCAGGATGACAGGGGGACTCTGAAAGAGACAAACACTATTACAGCTACTGTCAGATGAATAAAAATGTGAAGATACGGTGAGAACAGCTATCAAGTCAGTTTGTCTGATTTGAGACAGTAGTTTACTCTCAGGGTAACAGCCAGTGCGCTGGATGGACTTTAGAGAAAGAGCAGAAGAGAGATCCGTTTAAGACACAGGCCTTTTTTGTTATCCAAAGGTCCATTCACACCAATAAGGGTCACTATAATGATAACTATAAAAGTGTCCACACAAATGGACAACACCATACCTTTTAATATAAGTGTTCATTATGTTATCTCATCTGCCACTTCAAATGTGCAAGCTATTTAAATAGGGGTGGGTTCTGTTTTCATTCATCAGCTGCAAGAAAGATCATTCTGAAAGTGATTCCAATGCTGTTATTGTTACATACCACTGTTCAAAAGTTTGGGGTTGGTAAGATTTTTTATCTCTTATGTTCATCAAGGCTGTATATATTTGATAAAAAATACAAGTAAAAACAAAATATTTTATTTTTATTTTCTCTAAGTTTTTTTGTAACATTATAAATGCCTTTACTGCCACTTTTGATTAATATAATACATGTTTGCTAAATAAAAGTATATATTTTTGCCAATTTAAAACTTACCACTTAAGACACTAACTACTTTTACTCTACGGTCAATATACCAATAAATGAATTAATAAATTAGATGTGCTACTTAAAACTGCTTGCTCACATCAGCTGTACACATACTCACATCAATCAAATTTCAGTTTTTCAAAAAAACAAAACAAAACAAAAATGACAGGAATCAACCGCAGCAAATGCTGAAAGTGGACAACTACAGTGGTGTGAAAAAGTGTTGGCCCCCTTCCTGATTTCTTTTTTTTTTTTGCATGTTTGTCACACTTTAATGTTTCAGATCATCAAACAAATTTAAATATTACACAAAGATAATGCAAGTAAATACAAAATGCAGTTTTTAAATGATGATTTCATTTATTAAGGGAAAAAAGCTGTCCAAACCTACGTGGCCATACGTGAAAAATTAATTGCCCCCTCCTGTTAAATCATGAGAGAACTGCAATTCACTGTGCTTCTAGGCATTGATAAAGCCTTTGAAATGTTTTTGTATCCATCTTCTTGCGCCTGTCCACAACTTCATCTCGGAGATCTTTTGACAGTGCCTTGCCACCCATAATTATTTGTTTGCTTCAGTTACACTGCCAAGGACCAAAATGCTCCAGGAAAGCTCTTTTCATGCTGAGCTAATGAAAATGACCACAGCTGATCACAGCTGGAAGTCAAATGGATCTGTGTGCCATTGAGAAGGTGATTAGCTACACCTGATTGAAGTTACAAGTCATTTTTAGGAGGGGGTGATCCTTTTTCCAGTGATTCTGTTTTTTGGGGGTTTTTTCCTGACATGTTGGTGTTATATCTTTTAAGCCAGGCTCACACTGTGCGATTTTTTAAAAGTCCTTTAGGATTGTACTAGTTAGACTGTACGAACATGATGATCATGTCACACTGTGGGATCTCAGTTGTCATTAATGTCAGACTGTACGACAGCGTTAAAAACGGGTGCGTGCAAGAAAACTTGTCAGGAGTTCTACATTATCAACCCATACACGTTCAGTGACTGCGAGCTGCATTGCACGCGGGGCTGTAATGTTGGCCATCATTAAAAGTATATGAATGGCGGCAATACCGGCGTATTTATGCAGAATAGTGCAAACAGCACTACACACCCACATTAAAACAGCAGCGCACATTAATCGGCTGTCGGTGAACATGCCAAACTAACGATCAAAGACTACAGATTTTAGCCTAGGATTATAGGAATCTTTTAGGATTTTCAAAATTGGTCTCAAAATCAAATCGTGGCCAAAATCGCACAGTGCGCGCCAGGCTTTACTTGTTATTCGTTGCACTGAGTAAATACAGCTGGATAAAACAAAAACCGCGTCAGTCTTCATTTCAGGCTGCAAAGCAAAAAGATGTGATTATTTTGATTCTTTTCTATCCCCACTGTATATTCACAAATGTGCCCTCAAAACTTCTCTAAAGAGACACATGAATGACATAATATAGATCTGAGTACTTCGTCACATCCATCGTGTGTCTTCATACAGCTCATCAGCATGTGAACAGAGCAAAAAGGGATTGTGATTACGCCGTGACTCAAGGCGACAACAAAGATAGGGGTCGGTGTGACCTTGCTACCTTATGTTACCTCAGATGGTTGCCTTGGTTCAATCACGTGGCGGCCAGAGATCGGAACGGCGAGAAATTAAAAAATGCAGATGAGCTGAAGGCCACTGTCAAAGAAACCTGGTCTTCCATACCACCTCAGCAGTGCCACAAACTGATCACCTCCATGCCACGCCGAATTGAGACAGTAATTAAAGCAAAAGGAGCCCCTACTAAGTATTGAGTACATGTACAGTAAATGAACATACTTTCCAGAAGGCCAACAATTCACTAAAAATGTTTTTTTTTATTGGTCTTATGAAGTATTCTAATTTGTTGAGATAGTGAATTGGTGGGTTTTTGTTAAATGTGAGCCAAAATCATCACAATTAAAAGAACCAAAGACTTAAACTACTTCAGTCTGTGTGCATTGAATTTATTTAATACACGAGTTTCACAATTTGAGTTGAATTACTGAAATAAATTAACTTTTCCACGACATTCTAATTTATTGAGATGCACCAGTATATACATACACAGTATATATACATATGTGTGTGTGTATAATTGTAGTAGTTATATATATTTTTTTACTATTTTAACTTATTTTTTAATATTTATAACACACACAATTGCATAATTATATACACTCAAATATATATAAAATAAACAATTATTATTAAATGTATTTTTTTGTATTAAATTATATCTCTCTATCTATCTATCAAATAGTTTATACATATTACATATACAATGTATTTTAGTATGCAAGTATTAAATACAAATTTTAAAAAGATTTATTTTTAAATACTTGCAAAATATTTCATATACATAAATCATTCCATATACATATAAATAATACACACATGTTTTTTTTTTTTACTATTTTAACTTATTTTTTAATATTTATAACACACACAATTGCATAATTATATACACTCAAATATATATAAAATAAACAATTATTATTAAATTTATTTTTTTGTATTAAATTATATCTCTCTATCTATCTATCAAATAGTTTATACATATTACATATACAATGTATTTTAGTATGCAAGTATTGAATACAAATTTTAAAAAGATTTCTTTTTAAATACTTGCAAAATATTTCATATACATAAATCATTCCATATACATATAAATAATACACACATAAGTATAATACTAATTAAAATATTGTATCAAATATATATATATATATATATATATATATATATATATATCTATATAGTTATAGTATAGTATTTAATACCATATAATACATTATATTATTTTTATGTAGTACAATGTCATCATTTTCAGACTTTAATCTTACATTTAAATACAGCACAAGACTAAACTAAGGCTGAATCTATAAAGAAAATTTAGAAAGTCTGACAACAAGGACAAAAAATATGGTAAATAAGAAGACAAACACAAATAAGAATACTAAAAAGATGACAAACATCATGAAGAAGACAAGTCCTCAGGGAATGTTTCCCGCTCAACACTGACATTAACAGAAGGAAACTGTCTAGGTCATACAAGCTGCTGCCATGCTCAGGGCTTTAGAGATGAATACCTCCGTGTTTACAGACTGTTGGTCTTTACTGTTGAATTTGTTTGGTGCTGCATGCATTCCCACTGTTCTACTGCTTTGGCCCCCCAGTGGTGGAACAAACATCCCACAGCTTTTACAACATGAAAGTCACTGCTGGCTGCACACTGGGGTGTGAATATGAGCGAGCGAGGAATGTTCAGCACCACTGTACAGCCACACAGGGCAAGAGTGATAAATCTTAAGTCTAATTCACACTGACAATACTGTCGAGGTTCAGAAACCGACAAAGAGGGAGAGAATTGATGTGCACATTCATGGAGAACGTGATGCATGAGTATTTCTCTGTAACAAATAAATGTTAGGCCTCATGAGTCCAACTAAAGAGATACAAATTGCACTACTGAAAATAGAATTATGTATCAGCGCTACAACTGTCTCATGTCTCAGACTAGTGCTGACATCTTGTGGTAATGCATCAAGAAGCATGAAAGTCGAGTTTTGAGAATGGTTTCTTCATTTTCCTACAAAGGTCTGAAGGTACAAGACTGTAGTTGGTTTCCTCAGTTTTATCCTGAAGAACAACGAAGAACAATGTTCTATTCATTATTCAATATTATCCTATTTCATCTATGTAAGCTATAGTGTATGATTTAAAAGGACAGCTTATCAAAAAATGAAAATCCTGCTATTGTTTACACAAAATTAGATATTTAAAAAAAAAAAGTTTTGTCCCCAATGACTTCCCATGAACGGACAAAAACAGTTAAAATATCGATATCAAAAATATTAATTTTACATAAAAATAAATTATTATATAAACTAATTAATATAGACTTATTTAAAATAAAGCATAACATATAAATAAATACAATATAAAGGTAATTATATAAATATATATTCTGTTTACTATTTATGCATATATATATATATATATAAAATAACATGTTATATATTTAATTCTAATTAAAACAATTTTTTAAATAATATTATACATAATTATATAAATTAGAAAATGACATTTATATTAAATTAAATAAATTAAAATAAACACTGAAGGAGAACTGGTAGAGGTAAGATATAAAAAGAAATAAGATTTAAACAGAGTTTTATGGTTCCCCTAAATAAAACGGACTCAAACGCTTCCCAGCATCTACGTGGCCTAGCAAATTATTTATGTGATCTTCAAAGTTGAAGTTGAATTTGGTTACATCACTAATTATTGTTTTGTGTCCTCAACCACAGACAAAGGCAGTGCGTTTCAGTGAATGTTTTTGTATAACTGAACCATCACGGACTCTAAAATAAGAGATTTGCATGGACATTGCATTTAAGCACACAGAATCCATAGATTTGCTGTTCGCTTGAGGGCGAGGGATTTAAAAAAATTCAACTGTCACACAACAACAGAAATTCTGAGATGAAGTAAACTTCACTGTATTTTTTCCACTTCATTTGTGCTCACAACGTGTTGCTAAAAAGCATCTAATCTGATCACAGGATGAGAAAGATGAAAACAGCTTGTTTGTTGCAATACAACTCAGTCATAATTGATGAGGAAACTGTAGAAATCCACTGTACATCCTTTGAAAAATTAGGCTAAGACGTTCAGGGAAAAAGAAGAGCCAGAAAATGAAAGAAAGGCAGTCGAAAGGATATAGCGCAGGATAAGAGCGGTTTCTTAATCTGGTTTTGATTGGATCGGAGGGTGACAGCTCAGTGAACTGGTGCAGAGCTCTGAGGTTATTGCGGTTTGGCACTCCAGATTTTCAGAACAAGCAGTCAGAAAGAGTTTGTCTACGAAATGTAAACTACCAGGTGAGGTTGTTGGGGGTGGAAAAAAATCTCATTGAAATAAAGCTTTTAACATTCGAAATATCAATCCTACTACTACACTTCCTGAAAATGTCACTTTATCCTCTGTCCTTGGCTTTTCTAAAACATAAATATTCAATAAGAGCATGCTATGAAAATGCTGCCAGATTAGCTGCGAGAATGCTTTCATGAAAGTCAAACCTATCCATGCAAATGTAAGACTGCATACAGCATCATTTTTAACAGAATGAATCAAAGTATGTAACAGATACAAAAATGCACAAAAAAAAAAGTATATAAAAGGAAGAAAAATACCATTTTGACATCAGATACACACACACACAAACACAAGAATATAAAATTGCAGTACATAAAACTATATATACGGTGTATATATATATATAATTTCAGTATATAAAAATAAAAATTGCATTTTGATATCTACATAATGTTATGCTTTAAAAATAAGTCAAATAAATATATATAAATAAATATGAATTGTGTCTACTTATGAGTGAGAAAAGGTGGCATTGCTGAAGATAAAATATAATTTGTTTTTAAGACTTAATTTTTCATATTTCCTTATGTGTTATTTCATAGCTTGAGGACTTCACTATTAATCTAAAATGTGTAAATTAGCAATATTAAAGAGTACGTAGATGTATTCAAAGTCTGGCCTGGTACTGTACATCTGGCTTGGCAAAGGGTTCATGACAGATGGCTGCAATGGTCCAGAAAGTCATGGACAAAATTTGAGCATAATTGCACAAATAATTTTTCTTTGGGTTGAACTGATTAAATTATGTGAACCCATGCCAGGTATAAGGTCAGAAGGTCATGAAAAACAAAAATGAAAGTGTGAAAAAGATATATATTTGATACCTCTTGAACAGCTTGAGCCTGCAACAGAAGGTCTTTTCTGAGTTTCTCCGCCTGCTGCACATGGAAAGAGTTCCTCTGGCTCTGGATGACAAAAACCACTTCTCTCAAGTCTACAACAAACACAGAGAAAAACACATACTCACCATGTCATCCCATTCATTTGCTTACTGCAGGGCACACAACATTTTCCCATTGAGGACCATGACAGTGACATTGGGTCAGAATGATTTTGTTGCAAGGCAAGTGTATCTACGAGTTCTCATTCTAAAATCTAAGCACAGGAAGGACATGCAGACCTTTCATCTAATAAATCCACATTTTAGATTGGAAAACACAGGCATTGTGTTTTTTTTGGTTAACGCACATTGAGCATCGGTGCCAATTGAGTCCAATCTGCAACATGTTCTAATTCCTGCTCTCTCACCAATGTTATTCTGTCTCTATCTATCATCTCTCTTTAATAAATCAAAAAGCCCAAAAGATAATCATCCCTTTATCTGAACAGATAACATTTGAAGGGTTTTGGCCCTGGGAAGAGAAAGGGCTTTGTGTGGTGCATTTGTCCGTTTACACATACGTTACAAGATTTCAATCTAAAAATCCAGTTTTCACAAAGCAGAACTCTCTGGGCTCAAGGTCAATCAGTACAGTTGCTTCTGGGGCCGGATTATAGAAACGGCCTATCGTAAATCTCAAGTTAAGATCTGACAAGTTAAATGCTCCAAATGGGAACTGAAATCACCATGGTTACCAAACCATTAAGAATGGATTTGAGATGGAGTATGTTTTTTGATCTACAATAGCTGCTTGCTTACTATATCACAATGAAACACTCAAAACCACACAGCGTGCTCTCTTGAATAATACACAAAGGATCCATTTATAATGAGCTCTAAAAATGAACTCAAACAACCTCAATGATACATGTGTCAAAAGAGCCATTGAGTCATGAGGGTGGACTTGATGGAAATTACTCGATTGAAGACCTCTGAGTGGTGTAATTAAGACACTGATTTAACATGCTGAGACATTGATGTCACTGAGTACAATCCGTGACATTTATCTAATGTCACCAGTCACTGTAACCTTTACATGAACTTTATATTTACCACCAAACCAGCCAGGCAACATCATCTTAACATTTGAGCACAGAATGTCTAAACATTATTTTAAAAAAAACTTAAAATAAATAGCACTACGACACTTACAATAAATAAAAACAAATAAATTTAGACAGACAGACAGACAGATAGATAGATAGATATTAGTCAGTGGTTTATTTATTATAGTCATTTATTTGAATAATAAATACATAAAATGACTATGATTACATTTATTATTTACTCACTATTGCACTAGTATGATTTGTATGAATTTCATTATTTTGTAGAACAAATTGTTAGGCTCTTCTGCATTCAATAAAAGTGAATTATGGTTGCAGAAATGATAATAACAGAAAATAACTCTTAAATCTCATTTGCGCTTAGATACACTCAAGTTTTAAAATATACTTTTTTTGGTGATTTTATTTTGTTTAGTTTTTGGAGTTTGACCGTTCTGTAACTTCACATTCATTGCATGGAAAAACATGAACATTCTGCACAATTTCTACTTTTTATTACAACAAAGCAAGAATTAATGCAGGTTTAAAACGATAAAATATTCCTTTAAGAAGCATAGTTATACAAGAGATTTGGCATCTATCTACATACATTAATCAAATAAAACCCTACAGCATTAAAACACATAATAGGAGGCATTAAAATACTTGATGCAGGTGTGTTGTATCAGCAAAACGCAGGTGTTTTTTTAATGATGCACTCATATTCCACTTCATTACACTACAACACCCACACACTGAAAGCAGACTCTAAATCTGCAGGCTGGGTAAGAGAATTAACTTTGCTTTCATACGTTCTCCCAAGTGGGAAAGCTCTGACATGTAATAAAACTCATACGGCAATGAGAAGTGTCACTTTTTTAATAAGTCTTGCAGTCACTTCATCATGAGCTCTGTTTCTGTTTGCTCCACCTCAAGCTCATGCACAAGGCTTTCTGCCAGCCACGGCTCTCTGGATCTATTCATTAGATTTCTTTAAAACATTTGCACAAAAATGTGGCCGTACAGCAAATATTGCACATCATAAATTATGATTATTAGACATCAAATTTTCATGACGCTTTTTTTAAGCAGCTCTGAGAAATTAGGCTCATTTGTCAACACAAACAAGGTGAGGTGTATGAAGCGATAGCTTCGTAATCTTCCTACGAGACAGGCTGAGAAAGAGTGAGAATGTGGAAAACAGCTGACATGAGCAAACAATCTGTGTGTGCCTCAATCTGCTCCCTAGTTAAGTGGTAAGCAGTCTTCACAGAGTCAGCCAATGGGGCTCTCCCATTGTCCTAGAAACGTTCCAGTGTACTGAAATGTTCGCTCACTAGAAATTTTCAAAATGCACTGTACAAACTGAGCATTGGCTGTTTGCTATGTTCACTTCACTGGATATAGTCAGAATGACTTAATACAATTTCAACCCCATAAAGTTGTCAGGCTGCCAAAAATGAACAAGCACATATTTCATAAGAACATTACAATAAAAATACAACATAAATCTCACACACACACACAAACATTATATACAGCATATTTTTAGATAAGAAATATATTTATATTATTTACATTATTATTAAAAATATGCATTATATGCATGTGTGTGTATAGCAGTGTCATGTCATGTTAAAGTGTTGACTGAATCATTTAATTATGTGAATAACAATATAGAAATCAATAAAAACATATTGTTTTTATTAAATTAAAAAACTGAATGTATAGCATATGTTTTTATAGTGTATTTTAGATATCAATAACTAATAATGCAAAAATATAATTATATTTACATTATTTTATTTAAAAATGTTTTATATTTATGTGTGTGTATATATAGATGAATCTTATAATTACGTGAATAATTCCGAATGTAATAAAAATACCTATGCGTTTTTATTTGTTCTAATTTAATGTATAGCTTATAATGTCTTTTTTATTTCAAATGTAGCATATTTAGATAACTAATGCAAATAATACATTTATTTTATTTAAATTATTTTATTATCAAAAAAAATGTTCATCATATTTTTGATAAAATAATGTGTTTGTTCTGAACAATTCAGAAATAATCATAAAAAAGGTTAGAATGGTTGTATATATACAATTTTTATATATTGTTCCTTTTTATTATTTATGAATTTTCATATACTTAGCGCATAAAGGCCCTTGCTAGTACCCAAAATGTTCATGTCATACTAATTCCTGTCATAGGGAGCATAATGAGATACAGCCCAAGTCTGTATGGATTGAAAGCTTCAGTTATTTTGCTTGAACCCTCTCTGTCCATGCAAAGCTAAAGGGCAAGAGAGCCAAGTGCCACGGGCAGGATCTGTTATGTAGTGTCATGCTGCTTTAATTGAATGTTGCTGCTTGCCATCTCTGCTCTGTCCTTCTCCACCTCAAAGCTGCTATTGATCTGCCGGCTCTGATGGGAAGGGGATTTACCTCCTAAACCACATCATGCCCATCTCTTACAGATCTGCCTGCCTCAGGGATAGATGCTTAGAAAGAAAATCTACGCCATTCACTCAAGCTCCCTGTTCGCATCCTTCAGTGTTAAGCGGCAGAATCCCACTTTTAAAAGCCTTTGTGCTAAGTCTGCTTTCAACTTTGTATGTATGTACGTGTATGTGGCTGCATACGGATGTGTAATGGGATCTTTTACAGAGATGTATTTATAATATACATACATAAATATACATACATATATGCGTGTGTGTGTGTGTTTTAGTGCACTGGATTTATCCATATAGTAACAAAAGTGCATGTAATATGTCGCTGTAAGAGAAAGCGTATGACCTTGCTGTACATTCTATTTATCACTGTTCTGCAAATTTCCACTGACGAAATCCAGTCATTTCAATAGGAATCCGTTATCACAACAGGTTCAAGTTGGTCACATTGACTCAATGTGCAGACAAACAGAAAGCTGCTTGGTTTGAAAATAGTGTAATCTCTTACCAGTAAAGTGTCATGAAAATGTTGCTAATGTGACCACACCTGAGGCAGAATGCAGTCATGGAACCTCATAAGTATCACATTTATTACAAATTTAACATTATACATATGTTCTATTAAAACTAAAACTCCACACATGATTCACAACTACTGTTAGCATGTTGCTAAGCCAATAATATTATTATCCAATGCGCGCGCGCACACACACACACACACACACACACACACAAAAACACTGGGGAAGCAAATACTGTGTAAAACTGTACAAAACTAAAACTCCACACATGATTCACAACTACTGTTAGCATGTTGCTAAGCCAATAATATTATTATCCAATGCGCGCGCGCACACACACACACACACACACACAAAAACACTGGGGAAGCAAATACTGTGTAAAACTGTAAATTTTTTTGATATAGAGAAGTATTTTTTAATTAAAAAGTACCTTTATTTTTTATACTTTTTGTATTGAAGGAATTTTTTTCACTGATCTTGTTGCAATGAATTATAACATTATACACTTCACTTAGAATACTGACTTATTTTGACCAAAAAGGCCATCTGTGAGCACTAGAGGTTATTGAAATACATAAAAATTGTTTATATCAGTTAGTGAAAATCACAAAAACTTACCGTGCCAGAAAACCCCCCCAAAAATCTAGGTGATTAAACCACAATAAGCCAAATAGGCAAATAGGATAAAAATTTTTTTTTTAAAAAGACAACAAAAATGCAAATGCAGGACAAAAACCACATCTTTACTGAATGGCAAACATTTTGGTCACAAAATTACCCTCTATTAATTGCCTAATTACAATGTCAGGTACAAGAGTCAACTTAAAACAAAAAAAGATCACATGGTTTCATTCATAACATGATGGGCAAAAATCAATCAAAGCACATGATATTTGTAAATAAATTATTACTGAAGACAGACAGGTAAAATAAAGCATCTGGGGTCAAAAATGTAGACAGCTTACAAAGTTTTGGAACAGAGTTATTGTGTGTGTCAAATCTATGTGCCTGACAGGCATTGCACA